ATACGGATATAGAGATACACACACACACACACACACACACACACACACACACACACACACACACACACACACACACACAGATATATGTATATAATGTGACTATTTATTTAGTTTTTTCCTGACTGGTGTGTTTTGTTGTTAGTTTGTTTGTTGTTGTTTGACTCTGTTTTCTTGGTAATGGTGATGTATGTAGCCTAACCAGGGACAGGGGTTGCAAATTAGCTTCAGCTAGAAACCCTATATGCAACACATCTGTTCAAGTTACTGTAACCTGTTACAATGTGTCTCTTTTGCATTGTCCCTGACAAATAAACAAATAAATAAAAAGAAAAGAAACAGGCTGACGTCCAAAGCGATGCTCTGTTCAACAACAGGACACTTTTAATATATCTCAGTCAATGCAGTGATCATCTGACAGATCTTACAGAGTGAAGTCTTCATTTGCTCTGCAGAGACTAAAGACGCTTTTAATGCGCCGTTAATGGAAAGTGAAGGTTTTTCAACCAGCGCTTTACTGTCTAACTGCACACAGCCTGGATGAGCTCATTTCTGTTAATGAAGCAAAATGCAGATTACAGACTGCTGAAGTTCTGAAGGTATGAATGGAAAGAGAAATTAAAAGTACATTAGATGAACCCACCCCTGCTGCAGACGACATCACTGCTGCCTTCAGCTAGAAGGAACAGCAGCACAAAGAAAAGTCTGTAATATTGAGGCACTTTGCTGCTCCGACTTCCAGCAACTTCTTTTCTTCTCCCTCAACATTTCAACAGGCTACATTCTGTCCGCGACTGATGTGGACTGTGAGTGATTGAATGGTCTCTTAGTAAACCGCCTCCTATATGAGCCAGCTCCGAAATCGCCTGAGCCAGGAAGGCAATGCAAATAAAACTTTACATTAGGAAAGAGGGGGCGGGGGGGCAAACATAGATTTTGAAATGAAACATGTATGATGGCTCCTACATGTATCAGGTGATCAACCTCACCACAAATCCACACAGGAGCAGAGCTAACAGGACCAGTGGACAGGACAGCTAACTGAGCTAGTTAGCTGTTAACTAACTTCAGCAACAAGTAAAGTTATCTGTCCATCAGGAAACTCTGGGAATCACAGAGTTGAGGCAGAGGGACATCAGAGAGAAAACTACAATATATTTTAGTCATATTTCTGATATTTCTCCATTAAATATGATCCAGTTTCACCAAAATCAGTGAATAAAGTTGTTTCTGTGCAGTAATCAGTGGGGCCCGGCCCTAGAAATACTCAGCTGCTTCAGCAGCGTCTGTTTGAGAAATCTTTGCATTGGACGCTAAAATAAGAAGGGCAGAATGAGTCATCAACGTTTTAAAAAAACTCTTAAATATCATCAAGAATACAAAACACATTTTTTGTCACTGATGGGTCAGAAACTGCCACAGTGGTGACATAGTGCAAAGCAAATCATATAAAAACATTTAAACATGGACTTTGGGAATGGAGGATTTTGTTATTGTATGTTTCTCTAAAAATCCACTGAGCAGACAACACATCACTGATACTCTCTCTTCTTCATTTGCCTATTTGGCATTGAAGTGATCCAACAGTAACTCAAAGTAATCAGATTACATTACTTTTATTTTGTGGTACATTACTGATTACATTTCTAAAGTAACCCTCCCAACACTGCCAGCAGGTCACTGGTGCCTGTTATGGAGGCAACCAAAGACCCTGCTGGTGGAAACCAGTGGCTAAGAAAGCCGTCAAGCTGAAGGAGGAGTCCTTTCAGGCTGGTTGGTGGTTGGCCCCGGGGCCTCCTGAAGCAGCAGACATGTTTCATATATACATATATATATATACATATACATTCAGCTCCTGATTTACTGAGGCAGCAGCTCATCAGACTCCGTCATGGCTGCCAGAGACAGTCTGCTGCCATTCTAGCTGCTGAGTGTGAGTCAACCTGGGTACATTACTGTAAGAGATGATGTCATAGATGATGTCACTGATGGGCTTACCTGAGCAGGTGAGATCCAGGATGGAGGAAGAGGAATATAATGATGCACACTCCCTCAGAGCAGAACCAGACTGAACACAGTCAGACCTGATCCTCCACACAGGTCTGTCTGAGGACTCCTTTCTCTGTCCTACAGAAACAGCAGAGCCACAGTCCAGCTCTCTACAGACACCAGCTGCTGTCTCCAGGTTCCGGTCAGAGTAACTCACTGGTCTCCAGTCTCCCTGATGTTTCAGCTCCAGTGTTCCTGCACAGCGACTGGCTCCTCCTACCAACCTGACATCATCAGGCTCTGAACAGAAACCAGAGAGTCATCAGTAAAGAAGTGAATTCAAGAGATTAAACTAAACCTTGACTGCTGATTCTGCTTCTGTGATTCTTTCCTTCTCTTTTCTTTCTCTCTTTACCTGTTGAGGTGTGATTTCCTTCAGCCTGGAGTCCTGTGATTGGAGCACAGCCGTGGACAGAAAAAACACTATCAGCTCAGAAACATCTCAGTGAACTCCCTCTGAGTCATTTTACCAGTTTACTGTAGGTGAGATGAACATGTGAATACACAGAACAGCAGCCAGCAGACTGGTTTATATAGAGTTAAAGTTCAGCATTCAGTGAAGTATGCTCGCTCAGCTTCACTTTATTCATAGTGCAACATCACAAACTGAGTGTCTTTGCACACTGTCAGATTAAATTCCACAGATGGAAATGTTTCTACAGCAACAAGAATCAGGTCCTGTCACCTGACTCCCAGCTGAAGAAACGACGTGTTACACGATGATATATGATGCTACTGTTTGATTAAGGGTTCACACCTAAAGGTCCGGGTCCTGAATCCAACCAATGTGAAGATGCTCAGTTCTCCAGCTGGTCCAGTTTGTGTTCACAAAGGCAAAACTCAAACTGTCCAGAAATCGTCAACAGAAGCAGGTGGTGGAAACGCTTTTCCATTATTGGTCATCCAGTCGGCGGGTAAAAAAACAAACCCCTCCAAAGATTGCTGTAGATTTTACAGTAACTTACTGGCAGCTGGATGCCAGAAAGTTACTGTAATTTGCAGAACTGAATAATTACCAAGAATTGAACGACGGTATCATTACAGTATTTTCATTTACAGTACTTCCATTTACAGGATACTGAGTTTGCATGCCTCTTTATTCCCTTTGAAACAATAGAAGCAATAAAAACACTGTATAGCCACCGTCTCATGTCTTATGGTGCAGCCTGTACAGGAACATAACCCTTCTTATCTTCATGGATCCATACTTAGCTTTTAGATGTTCAGATGGGAAAAGATAAAGTCATCAAACCATTTTTAAATTTCTTATTTTACCACTCTGTCACAAACTGTCTGTGACTCACAGCACTAGTGCAGGTCTGCTTGATTATGATCACGGCGTACGCTGGTGTCGCTTCAGCCGGGCGGAGCCGATTCACGCCGCAGGCTGACGTTATCAGTTCTACATGTTATCAGTCGTTTTTCACTACGTGACTAAATTGATGTTTCGGCGTGAGAGCGTGTGAAAGTGTCAACAGCGTGAGTCTCACGGTCAATCTGTGAGAGTTAGCAGCTCTGACTGGATGATGTTTTTATGCTCGGTCCTGATTTGCTGCTGAGTCTCTTTCACACTTTGCAGCTAATAAACAAAGTGAATAGAGCACAAATTAGAAAAGTGATTATTGGTATTTATCACTGATAATATTTAGTCAGCGTTCATCTCACTTTGATTTGTCCAGAAACTAAAGTGAAGTCCACGTGTCCTTCATGGTGGGACAGTGTCAGACCTCAGTGCACTTCTTGAGTTTCATGTTTAAATATCAAGTTTACAGTTTAAGAGCTCGATGTGCAGCCGTCACATATAAGCAGGAGACAATCAGAGCGCGTCCAACAACGATTGTCAGCCAGCATCCCTCTCTCGCCTTCTTTGCAGCAGCAGAGTTGCTTTTTGCTGTAAAATGTTTTTCTGCCATTGGTCCATTTTTGCAGAAGAAGAGTCACATGACGCGTCAGAATTTAATGGGAACGAGCACAAAGCCTGATGAAGGTAACAAAGATGATCGCCGTGGTGAAACCCGTTATCTCTGACTGCAGTTTAAACCCTTTCACATGACACCTCTTCCTTTCAGCCTGCAGCTGAGAAAGCGTCTGTATTCCTCTGTTTATCTCTGTTTGTGCATATTAAATACGTTCCTGGGAACCTTTTGCAAGCACAGGTTTCTTGTTTATGCCTGTTGTCGCTAATTTGCATCATACTTGAATTTATATCTTTTCTATGAACGATCTCCACTTAATTTAACCTCATCTTGAAATCAAATGAAAACACAAATAATCTTTTTAATTTTCTTATTGTAAATAAATTCAGCCGTCAGTTTAAGGTTTCGTCGAGCTGAAGCCAAGAAAGCCTGGATGTGTCCAACCTGCTTCGTAGTACAGCCCTCTGAACACCTGATACACCTGGACACAACTGAACATCTGAGGCTAATGTTTAGCAGCACAAACAGTTTTAGCAGAAAAAGAAGAAGAACAGAACATATCGTGCACCAGCAGCTTCACCGCTTGGACTCCTACTAACACATGCTGTTTAAAGTCCTACCTGAGCTCCACAGCAGCAGCAGCACCAACAGGTGATCCATGTCCAGGTAGATGGTCTCTCTGGCCGTCCGCCTGCTCTCTGCTCTGATCATCATGTGCTGTCCTCAGTGTATATCTGCATACAGGAAGAGGTGGAGCTTTACTGGAACACAGCTCATTCAGCTGTCTTTAGTTTCACAGTCAAGAGTCCTCGTCTGAGTCTCTGACACAGGATCAGGGTTTTCTGATGCCCATGTTTCCAGTTTGACCGGTGGACCGGACAGTGGTCACACTGGAGTCCAGACTGAGCCCAGTTCTCCCTTTGCACTGTGTGCTTCACGTCAAACTGTCGACTTCGTGTCAGTTAAACTTCAACATGTTGCTGTAAAAGGTGGATTAAAGGAAATGTTGATGTTGTTTCCTGTTTTATTTTGAATTGTCTCTGCTGTCTGTCTTTATTTCCTGTCTGTGTCTTCCCTGTGATTACCTGATGTGTCTCACCTGTGTTTAATCACCCTGCCACGTTTGTGTGTGTGTACAGGTCTCTGTTTTTGTCTATGAAGATTCTCAGTCATCCAAGTCATAGTTATCCAACGAAGGTTAAAATCAAGGGCAACTGAACTTGGTTGAAGATACTGGAAGACGTTTCGTCCCTCATCCAAAAGACTTCTTCAGTTCTGACTGACTGGCAGGGAAACTCAGCTATTTAACCTCAGTGGGGTCATTGGCCCGGGTCATCGATACCGCTGGTTTGTTAGTGTTCCTTGTTGCTGTGACGATAGTCGTTACAGTCGTTAAGACTACCTGTGGCCAAGACTGAACGACCATCGTTGGTATCTTCACCTTAGGCCAAGACTGAACGACCATCGTTGGCGTCTTCACCTGAAGCCAATAGGTTACGTTTGTTGAGTTTCCTGGGAAGTGATGAAAGGACAGCATTGTAAGTGGGGGATAACCAACGAAGGTTAAAATGAAGGGCAACTGGACTTGGTTGAAGATACTGGAAGACGTTTTGTCCCTCATCCAAAGGACTTCTTCAGTTCTGACTGACTGGCAGGGAAACTCAGCTATTTAACCTCAGTGGGGTCGTTGGCCCGGGTCATCGATACCGCTGGTTCGTTAGTGTTCCTTGTTGCTGTGACGACAGTCGTTACAGTCGTTAAGACTACCTGTGGCCAAGACTGAACGACCATCGTTGGTATCTTCACCTTAGGCCAATAGGTTACGTTTGTTGAGTTTCCTGGGAAGTGATGAAAGGACAGCATTGTAAGTGGGGGACAAGTGGTGGCGTAGACCCCCTCCCCTGTTCAATGACGGCTTCTCAACCCTGGTGTAGATGGCTTCCTTGACACCTCTTTCAAACCATCCATCTTCTCTGTCTAAAATGTGCACCTGGTGGTCCTCAAACAAGTGTCCTCTGTCCTTCAGATCTAAGTAGACTGCAGAGTCTTGACCTGAGGAGTTGGCCCTTCTGTGTTGAGCCATGCGTTTGTGTAGTGGTTGTTTAGTCTCCCCAATATACAGGTCTGTGCATTCCTCACTGCATTGGACCGCATACACTTGATTGCTTTTCTTGTGTTTGGGTGTGCTGTCTTTGGGGTGGACCAGCATCTGTCTTAGTGTGTTCTTGGGTTTAAAAAACACAGGGATGTTATGTTTGTTGAAAATCCTCCTGAGTTTCTCTGATACTCCAGACACGTATGGAATCACGACGGCTTCCAACGCATGGAAGGCTGTGACATCTCTGAGCAAGGATCAAAACATCACTATCCTATCTGCTGACAAAGGAAGATGCACGGTAGTACTTAACACAGCTGAATACCAGAACAAAGTCAACACACTACTAATGGACACAAACACTCAGCTATTTAACCTCAGTTGGGTAACTGAGGTTTAATAGCTGAGTTTCCCTGCCAGTCAGTCAGAACTGAAGAAGTCCTTTGAATGAGGGACGAAACGTCTTCCAGTATATTCAACCAAGTCCAGTTGCCCTTGATTTTAACCTTCGTTGGATGTCTCTGTTGTTGGTCCAGTTCTTGGTTGTCTCTCCGTTTGGAGACCCTGGGCCTGTTTTCTGGGGATTATTGCATCTGGATTCATCCGGACTTCATTCCTGCCGGCCTCTTCCTCTTAACATGTTTGTGTTTCGGACTCCGCTCCTGGTTTTCCTCTCGCCTGCCTGCCTCATCATCATTGGAAGTTTGTGTTCACCTTGTTTTGACTTAATAAATCATGTTACAGTGAGCTGAGAGTCTGAGCCTGGCTCCTATCCTTTTTACCTGCTGCCACGTTTGACACCACCTGACCTCTGCTCCACCAGGTTCCTCTCTGACGGCAGAACCCGGGGTTTCAAACTGGTTTAGAACTGGTTTATACTGGTTGGAAACTGGGTTTAATCTGGTTTTGAAATGGTGTTAAACTGGGTGCACATTTTTTATTTTGGTAAATAAAGTTTTGTCCTTCAGGGACGATGTCGACACTCTGTGGTCTGTAGTTAACCTCTCTGAACTGATGAACTGATTACTGACTTCTGGCCGGTGTTACCATGGCAACCAGAGCAGGCTGAGGCGTCGCTATCAGATTAAAGCGGTCAGCGTCTTCTTCTTCTTCTTCCTGCTAGATGTGTCTGATCCCACTTCCTGTGTGTTGCTATGGCGATCCAAACAGCACGTGAGCGTCTCAGTGTGCTTGTTTCTCCTTCCTGGTTCAGCTTCCTGTTATTTCTTAGTTCTGATGATTTAGTGAAGTTTTCACATTCGAGGAGGAAAACTGACTCTGAGGAAACGTTTGTTGTTTCCTCCTGTGGGAGCAGTGATGGAAGAAGTACTCACAGCTTTTACTGCAGTAAGAGTACTAATACCACAGTGTACAAATACTCTGCTGCAAGTAAAAGGACTCATTCTGCAGAATAAAATCTATTGTAGGATTCTGATTATTGCTGCGTTCATGTGTTCATCAGGTTCATGTTGCAGCTGGTAAAGGTGCAGCTCATTTTAATGACTTCATCTCCTGCTGGCTGCTTTAACCTGTAATAATACATCATCATTTTTTAGCTGCTGATATTTTGTATCTGTAAAGTAACTGGTAACTCCAGCGCTCAGATAAATGGACTGCAGTAGAAGCAGGAAGTAAAGTAGAATCAGCTGAAAGTGGACTTTAATCCAGAACTTGAACATAATGAGCAGCTGGTTGGTTTGAAATCTGCAGACGTTCATATAATGTCCATCCCTGTTAAAGCTGAAGGGAAATAAAAGTCCTGTCTAATAAAAGCTGGAAGAAAAACAATCTTCTGGACTAAATAGAAAACAGGAGGAAATCTCTGGATCTCTGGCTGGAAGAGACGTTTCTGTTTGTGCTGGAAGCTCGCTGATTAAATCTGAGGGCGTATTAATCACAATCAGCTTTACTGACGTGTTCGCAGACGAGGAGTTTGACCTTTTGCTGCTGTCTTCCACAGAAATAGAAATACAGGGAAACGCTGAACTGTTCTGTTCAGACAGTACATATATATAAAAAGCAGCGTACAGAGACTAGAAGTCAGACTGTTCCAGTGGAAACAAGAAGACAAATCTGCTGCAGGAAACTCTGAGTGCTGACTTTGTGTACCTGCAGTAGGTGGATATGTACAGTACATGCATGTGTACAGTATATTCAGAAGCTTTTTCTCTGATTTCGCTGATGTTAAAGCTCAGTGTGGATTTAAACACTACAGATGAAATATATATAAAGCGTATTACTGTATAGTGTAGTATAATATTACTGTATAACTACTCTTTGTTTTTCTTATATATGTGTGATATTACTACATTACTGTGTTACCTGAGAAAGGTAAGCTTGTTTTCGACTCCAGCCTGTCCCTTATTAGCTGCTGCAGTGCAGGATGGATGAAGAATAGACCCGTTTCTCAACTTGTTCTTATTCTAAATCAAACAGTGAAGTAGAAGTCATGCATAATAAATCCCTGCAGTGTGGCTGGCCTTCTGAAGGCAGGACAGGATCATTTGTTTTATTGAACTTCCTCCGTTAGTACATTATTGTGTTTTGGTAGCACATCACAAGTGAGAAAAACACCATCAGAACATTTCATCCAGTTCCTCTGATTAGAAATGACTGAATATTGTTTGGGCTGTGTCTCTGTGGGTTCTGTGCTGTTGTCCTGTTGCTGTTTTCAGCCCAAAACAGCAGCAGCACTACAGAAGAGCCATCTAGTGACTGTTGTCAAAAAAGCACCAGAGTTTCGTCTCTTTGCTTCTTTTCTCTTTGATCTGCTGTTAAATTCTTATTTGCAGTGAATTTGAGTTGTGACGTGTGAAAAATGTAAGTCAGATTTTTTAAATTCTTCAGATCTCTCGTGGAAACATACCATTACTCATGTGGATGAATTCTTTTGGTGCTTTCACCTAATTTCAGAGGGACTGAAATAAAACAGTACTGTTTAATCACTTCCAACTACATATCAAGCTTTATGGGGATGTGTGCAAATAAAAAATAAGCATAACAACAAGCAAAATGTTTACTATGTGTATAAAAGACACACAGAAATAAAACACATTACTGATAATATTTACATAATGTACAAATTGTCATGTTTTAACTTTTAAACAATATTTATATATAAAACTAACTATGTATTAAAAAACACAGAAAAGTCCCACTATTTACATAATTTGTAAGTTATGAGCATAGCCCTGTGTCCAAGCTGGTTGAAACCCGGAGATGGAGAGCGATGGCTGGGTCTTTGTCCATCTTCAGCTCCAAGGCAGCGGAGCTGGCTGCTGAGTAGATGGGGGTGCAGGTTGCGGTTGGGGTCCTGGTCGTGACCTGGTGGCAGGCACAGGTCATGCTGCCCGTGTTTCACTGGGCCCTGGGCAGCTGGGAAACCTCTCAAAAAAACAAAAACAAATTAGTATTTGCATTTTCAAATTCATTGAAAGAACGTTTACACATCCTCTCTGGTCTTCCTTTAGGTCCCCCTCACACACACACATCACTTTACACCTAACAAGAATGTGGAGGCTTTGACAGATTTTCCTTCAGCTAATATTCTCTGTATCTATTCCAATTTATTATCTGTGCTGCCTGCCCTGTCCACCCCAAAGCAGGTAACACCTGAATGAGATGTGGGAATATTGTCTCTTCTATTTACACTCATTCAGTATATATATATTTCAGTATATACTGAACATAAATGGACAAAATGATATGAAAGACCACATCTGTACAAGTACTATGATAAAATAGTCAATGGCCAAAACATATTTACTCATCACTTCAAGAGATAATGTTATTCAGATTGTGAATGGAGGTGAAGATATACATTTGTTATCACAAGGATATCACATAGAACAGCCGACATATCTACAACATTATGATTTGTAAATGTATCCCAGTTTTACACAAGAAAATAACTTTTACACAAAGTAAACTAAAGGGGCACGCAATTTGTCAAAGTTCATGACAACTTACTGAAACACAAGCAGCACAGACGCAGCTTATTTGAGCCAAGATGGTCACAGTTAGCCAAGCACTAAGTGCACCATTGCCAACAATGTTTTATAAAATAAATACGCTTACCCGTCGACAAATGGATCTCTTATGTGTAATCCTCCTCATTGTAACAATCAAAACAGTCAGACCCCCAAAACTCGTCTCTCAACCTCGTCGCTGCTCTCCAAAATCCTCTTCTTTATACATTATACGTTTTTTCCATGTTTTTCTCGCAGACTTTTCCCCCCTTTCTCGTCAGCTCTGTATTTTCCCCACTGTGAGGTGATGGGTGGGTCCTTAGTGATTTTGAGAGCGTCTATTGGTTAGCTTCATACAAAATGCAGACAGACAGGCTAATCCACCAATTATGGAAGGTGAAAGGCCATTTTGTCTTTCCCCTAGCTCGTTGTGTGAGTCACGTACGATCTCGAGAGAATAAGGACTTTGAAGCTGAGAATCTCTCCATGAAGGCAATATCTGGACCTTTTCTGTGTGCTGTATGATCACGGAGATATTAATGGAATTAGTAAACACCGAGTTGACGCGCCTGTGCCTCCAGGAATGTGAGTATTAATATGACTGGGAGGGGTGGATTCATTTAGGCTAACATATTCTCCATCACCCAGCCAGGTTTCAGTAAGACAAAATAAATCAATATCTTTATAATACCTTTAGAAGAGAGAGATCTGATGTTTAAGAGTCCACATTTAACTCTCCTATTCTTTTGCACTATTGCTCTTGTGGTTTTAATTTTTATGAGGTTTTTATGCACAGCTCCTCTTCTGTTTACCTTTGATTTAAATAATTTCGATGGTCGGGGGACAGACACCGTCACTGTAGGATTTTCACTAAGTAACTCCTGAAATGGAGGAGCAGAGAAGTGTGTTAAACTGCGACTCTGCCTCCTGGTCTCAACTCTGGGTTGTGATGGATTTGGTCCACTAATAAATTTGGCCAGATTCATCCATCTATCATCTGTCTATCTATCAGAATCAGAAGGAGCTTTATTGTCAAGTAGTATTTTACACATACGAGGAATTTGCTGTGGTGATAAGATGCTGCACGCAGAACATACAGTCAACATAAATAAATGTGGAAATATATAAATATGGAATGGAAGAACAACATTGCAGATATATACATGTGCGTTATTCTGGGTCTGTGCCGTGCAGACGTAACGTAACGGAAGAGAATATTGTGTACATATAAATATATAAACTGACAACATAAAAATATACAACAACAAAGATCAACAATCAACAACAAATATGTGCGACGTGCCAGGTCTGAGCCCGACACAAGATGAAACGGTATTTACATGTGCAGAGACATTTGTATCGTTTGCAAGGGTGGAGTGTCAGTAGGGGACCCGGGCCTTGTTAATGAGGCTAGTTGCAGATGGGAAGAAGCTGTTTTTGTGGTGAGAGGTTTTGGTCCTGATGGACCGCAGCCTCCTGCCAGAGGGGAGAGTCTGAAACAGTCTGTGGGAGGAGTCAGCTGCAATCTTTCCTGCTCGCCTCAGAGTCCTCGAGAAGTACAGGTCACTGATGTCGCAAGAAAAGTGGGAATTAAATCCACTGGAGTTGTTCCCCTGATGTTCATTAGCTCCTCCCTGGTGAAAGAGCTCCGGGAATCACAGCCGAAAACTGAATTAACACACGAAAACAAAACAAAACAAAGTGCACCGAACACTGAGGCAGCTATACTCAACGCCATCTATCATTTATCTATCTAACTATCATTTGTCTAGCTGGAGCAAAACGGTTTGCCGATTTGGACTCGGGGTGGAATTTGCAGCGGGACTGGTACATTTTGCAGAGAATTGGAGAGTAGCTGTCAGACGTTGTCCCAGCCGCAGCATATGCGCCACACTGGGGACGGGAAATAACAGCCAGATTCCTTGCATCGTGGGGGCGGGGGCGGCACGGAGGCCCCTTGCATGTGAAGCTCTTGCAAAAGATCTTTACACGTTTTTAAATCCTGTCCCATTTACTAGTAAAATTCTGCTTCCTTGTTTTTTTTTCCGTACCATAACCCCACGCGTGGATCTCTCAGAAAGGCCTGATCCTGTTACTTCAGGAATATTTATGGTGATCCAGGCACCGGCAACGGATGGGACTTGAACCCACAGACTGCACCAAAGACAATCTCACCATGCCACCAAAGACCCTTCACAATTGTTCCTATTCTCTGGGTGCTTTTATCTCTTCACTGAGAAGTTGTGACTCAAAATTGGCTGTGCCTTCGATAACGATCAAACTCACAACCCCTGGGCTGTGAAGCGGAACACTATCTCACCGAGCAACAGGAACAGACAGTTGGGAGTTCAAAAATGTTCCACGTGGTCAGTGTTTGGGTCTGAACATTTAGAGTGTGAATGTTTTGGTAATAAATCCCTAATAAATATTAAAAGACAATGGCTTGTTTCATTTGTTATATTTGAACCGGGAAACATACAAGAGAGTGTAACAATTATTATTATTAGCAGTTTATAGAGACGGGTCTTCAGTAGCTGATATTTTACTTTAGAACAAAAGTCACAAATAAAACAACATATAATGTGCATATTTCTGTGTTAAATAAGAAAACATAGTAGATAATAAACTGGTTCTTTATAGCGGAGCAGCTAATTGCATTTTTGCAGGAAAATCTTTCACGAGTGGAAAGAACTACCAAAATTGGCACAAATACTCCGTGGGGACTGTTATTTTGATAAAACCTATTAGCCACGCAAAAATCAAGATATGGCTGCCATTTTTCCAAGATGACCGCCATTTCTGGCCCGGAAATACCGTTTTGGAGACAACGTTGTGTTGAATTGTCTAATATCTATGATGTTGCAATCAATCCATACATTTTTGACCACAGAAAAGCTAGATTTCTAACTTTGGAGAGGTTAAAAAACTTCCTTCTACCATCCTTTCTGCCATTAAAAAAAAAAATCTGCTTACTGAGCTCTGAACAAGGCATGAGCAGCGGCGGCCAGGCCACATTGTCAGCAGTGTAACGGGAATGAAACATTAAGTGAGTCTTGTGAAATAAAGAGTTCAGTCCCGAGGTCTTTGAAAGTCTTTTATTCTTTGCAAAAGGTCAGACAAACGTACAGAGAGCAACCAGTCTGGGAGTAGGAACCAACTGAGATGAAGGCCTATCAAGGATGGTCAGATATAATGCAGCATAAAAAGGTAAAACAGTAAACCCCAGTAAAATATCACATTTCCATCACAGCGGACAAGACACGGGAGGATTGAAGATGACTTTATTTTGTCCAAACAAACAGATGTAATGCACTGACACCACACAATAATAGAACAAAGACAAGGTTTTTACGACGCTTCACTTTTATTTGAATTTAATATAGAACAGGACTCGGCCAACATAGTTCCAGAAGGACTTCCAGATCAGCCTGGGTCGGCGCGGCTTTGCTTCTGAATTGTGCCGGGTGTTTGGACCCCGATACTTAGTTTTATAATGAAACTATATATTTATGAGGACTTTTTAAAGAGTGACGTCTTCAATAGGAACCATTTACATTTAGCTGACGCTTTACAATTGCTATACATGTCAGAGGTCGCACGCCTCTGGAACAACGAGGGGTTAAGTGTTTTGCTCAGGGACACAATGGCGGATGGGTCACAGTGGGGGATTGAACCCGAGTCTCTCACACCAAAGGCATAGTCTTCCAATGGGCTTGGAGCTGAGAGCCACAGACAAGAAGTCTGAAAAGCCTAACACACTGTTGGTTTTGCTCTTTTCTTGTTGAGAATAATAAAAATAGTGTCTAATGTAATCTAATAATTCCAGCTGTATTGTTTAAAGGGAACATCAGTATAAAAGAGTAAAATCCTGGACTGAGCTGATGGTGGGTTGTGAGGCAGCTGAGATGAGCTCCTTGGAGGTCCTACTCTGCTCCCTGAGCTCCTTCCTCTTCAGTCGGCCCTCCTTCAGCTGCAGAAACACCCGGGCTATAATAATCCAGCTCGATGTCCTCCTGCCTGCCCGGCTTCTGCCCCCTGCTGGCCTGGAGAGACATGACAGCACACACATGTGAGTTAGTGCATCACTCCTCCTCTTCTTCAGGTCAGTAAACACAGAGCGAGTGCTTCATCTCAGGCCTCTAAACAACAGACGTGTGTCAGTACCTTACGGTAGAAACAAAGGGCAGCGATCACCAACAGCAGAGTCAGCGGCAGGACGACCACTTTGATGAGAAGACCTGTTGGATCTGATCAAACACATGGACAGACATCACATCACACACCATCAGTCCATCAGCTATTGGAAGTATTCTAGTTTCCACTTGTAGTCCATTTATAGTAGCTTCTCTTACCACTGCTATGCAGACGATACGCAACTCTGCCTATCCTTCCTGTCAGACAACCCCACCATCTCGGTGGGTTGTGTGAAGAGCAAAAGAGGTGGAACGCATCAGCCCAAATGCAATCTGTGAACCCATGGGCTATTGTCTGATGATGAATTGGCTTTTGTTTTTGTTCTGATTCTTCTTCTTTCTTTCTTTCATCTTTTTCTGTTTTGGCAGCAAAAACTGCTGGACGAAAACTCATCAAAATTGGCACGTAGGTTACAAATTCCACCAACTACTCAGGCAAAAAACCTCATGGTGGTGCTACAACAATCAACTTTACATTTTTGCAATTATCTTGAAAACAGCTTTGTTTAGAGTCAACGTCTTTCATTATTTTCATCTCTGGATTCTCATGCATCTTTGCTCCAGTGGTCTGGTGACTTTTTATCACTTTTCTCTAAAATCTATTTTTGCGAACTCTTCCCAGATGGTCTTGCCAATCGACCTGAAACTCATCTACGGACGTCGCTGATCAAAAGTTCTTAAAAGAATTTTGATAAGTCAATCTGTTTTTTTTCATAAACTTTTACTTTTTTGTATTTACATAAAATTTTACATAAATGCCCGTAAATCAAAATTGGCTTAAGCTATTGTAACCAAACTTGACGTGTCTGCTCAGATGCTCGGCCCGAGCTTCTCTGAGCAGTCCTGGGATATTCTTCCTCTAGGTGGGGAGCTACACTTGCAAAAAGTTTATACCTCGTAATTCGCTGGATGGATTCGTACAAAATTTGGTCATTTGATTAATGATTGCGCAAAGTGGGCGTGGTTAATTACCAAAAATGTAAATTTCTAGACTTTTCTCGTTAATCTTCAAAAAAGAAAATCATCTGTATGTCCTAGAGAGCACATCCACTGATTTGTGACTAACGGTTGCCTCACTGCAACCTATGGTCGACTCAGAAGTCAGTCATTTCAGAATATGCTAATTCAATTTACATCTATATCTCCACAAGTCTTTCTTCAAACGCTACCAAACTCGACAGAGTCGAGATGGATGATAGAAAGTGTTTCAAAGGGTTTTCAGATCGGTCAGTTCAATTCAATTCAATTTTATTTATATAGCGCCAAATAACAACAACAGTTATCTCACAGCGCTTTTCATAAAAGAGCAGGTCTAGACCGTACTCTGTGATGCTATTTACAGAAGCCCAACAGTTCCCACCAAGAGCAGCACTAGAACAGAGGCAAGGAAAAACTTCCTTTTAAGAGGCAGAAACCTCGAGCATAACCATGGCTTAGGGTGGGCGGCCATCTGCCTCGACCGGTTGGGGGTGAAGGAGAGAAGAGAGAGAGAGAGAGGAGAGAGAGAGAGAGAGAGGTGAGGCAGCCTACACAATATACACACAGAGGTACAGACAGTAAAGGTGATGTTTCTATAGACTAAATGAAAAATGGTCAAATGGTGAGTCTGCAGTGATATTTAGTATCTTGCTGTAACTTGTACAGTATGCACAAATTTTCTTTTTTTCTCAGTTTTGGCCACCAAAATAATTAACACACACACAGAATGATGTGTGATTTTGTTCAGAATTTTCTCACTAACATCTTGTAGGCGTTTTAAGTTTAAACAGAAAAAAACTACCTGGTCTGGCACATGTGACGTCACTACCTCAACTTGTGAAAAGGAGTGTGTCAGTAAGTTACCTACTCTGGACATCTGAAGCTCCAGGGTTCAACTCCCCAAGTAATCGAAGCAGACTTGCTCACAATGGGGGTGTTCAGATCATAGTGGGTGTAAGATCTCTATTTTTGGATCCCGAGACACTTTCTTCTTATTTTTCTCTGCTAAAAAGATTATGCAGCTTAAACTTTAAATCTTGGAAACAAAAAATGTTGCAGATGGGTTGAACATTTCACCTAGTAGTCAGATACATATAATGACACTCTCTGGTGATGCTATAAAAATCAAGTTTTTTTTTTATTTATCTCAAAGTCCAAATTCTTTCATCACTTTAATCTCTGAAGTCGTCTGTGTCTGTTCTTCTCCTCTGAAAATTTCATATGTTGCGTTTTTCGCGACTGTCTTGGATCCCAATCATTGCCGCTTGCGGCAATATTTAAAAATGTATCTGCATTTAAATCGTCAGGCGACAGACAATGGGTTCCCAGATTTGTCTGACAGAGACTTATCTCTTAATCTTCACTAATTCCACTTCATAATTACTTCGTAAACATTCGCACTCAATATGGTCCATCTGTCTACTCTGTAAAGAGATCTATTTACTGCCTAAAAATTTGTTTATCTGAATCGAGGCTCTAAGGACAGAGGGTGTCCTTTGTTGTACAGACCTGAATATCTGAATATTTTTCTGTTGGTATTCTATTTTTAATTTTGTGATTTCATTATTTGTTTTGTTTCGCACATCTGACATCCCTTTTACAGCAGTGAACATCACGCTTCAGTTCACTTTGAAGGGAAAACAAACTACTGAAAACTTCAGCTGTGTGGGAGCACTTTAAATTCAGTGATTTTGGCATTTTGGCAGTTATGGGTTTAATAATTTTACAATTTTTTTATTTCATTGCAGACAGAAAAGTTAAATAGCCTACATTTTAATGTTAATCGAAGTTAAAAGCAAAGTAAGCATGTATTGTTTTAGTAACGCTACAGGAAAGCGTTTATCCTGTGTCTCCCTGGGCCCCCTCCCAGCTATACTACCTGGATTCTGCTCTGGACCTGTTCGGCTCAGCCTCTCACACTCTCATTCTGCTACGGATCCCCCCTGCCCTGCACAGCAGCCACCAACCTGGTTCTGCAGGCATCTAGCCTTCCACACTGCTTCGCTCTTCCCCGGCTCAATATCCCGTCCCTTCAACCCTGCATATATATTCATCTATCTCCAGTTTCCTCCCTTTCTTCGTCCTGCACTTGGGTCTGCTAGCCTACCAATCTAACCTTAACAACGTTTTGGTAACCTACACCATGAGAATGAAGAAAGAGAGCACTTTCTCTCTCTCTCTCTCTCTCACACACACACACACGCCGTTATCTCTCCCGCATCTGATTCTCCCTCTCTCAAGTCATTGCCTGTGCCAGAACTTCTGCTCCGATCTATCCATCTATCAAAGAAATAGATCTAGCTATATGTATAATCTACACTGCTCAAAAAATAAAGGGAACACTTAAACAACACTATGTAACTCCAAGTCAATCACACTGCAAGCAACACTGATTGACAATCAATTTCACATGCTGTTGTGCAAATGGAATAGACAACAGGTGGAAATTATAGGCAATTAGCAAGACACCCCCAATAAAGGAGTGGTTCTGCAGGTGGTGACCACAGACCACTTCTCAGTTCCTGTGCTTCCTGGCTGATGTTTTGGTCACTTTTGAATGCTGGCGGTGCTTTCACTCTAGTGGTAGCAGGAGACGGAGTCTACAACCCACACAAGTTGCTCAGGTAGTGCAGCTCATCCAGGATGGCACATCAATGCGAGCTGTGGCAAGAAGGTTTGTTATGTCTGTCAGCATAGTGTCCAGAGCATGGAGGCGCTACCAGGAGACAGGCCAGTACATCAGGAGACGTGTAGGAGGCCGTAGGAGGTCAACAACCCAGCAGCAGGACCGCTACCTCCGCCTTTGTGCAAGGAGGAGCAGGAGAAGCGCTGCCAGAGCCCTGCAAAATGACCTCCAGCAGGCCACAAATGTGCATGTGTCTGCTCAAACGGTCAGAAACAGACTACATGAGGGTGGTATGAGGGCCCGACGTCCACAGGTGGGGGTTGTGCTTCCAGCCCAACGCCGTGCAGGACGTTTGGCATTTGCCAGAGAACACCAAGATTGGCAAATTCGCCACTGGCGCCCTGTGCTCTTCACAGATGAAAGCAGATTCACACTGAGCACATGTGACAGACGTGTCTGGAGACGCCGTGGAGAACGTTCTGCTGCCTGCAACATCCTCCAGCATGACCGGTTTGGCGGTGGGTCAGTAATGGTGTGGGGTGGCCTTTGTTTGGGGGGCCGCACAGCCCTCCATGTGCTCGCCAGAGGTAGCCTGACTGCCATTAGGTACTGAGATGGAATCCTCAGACCCCTTGGGAGACCATATGCTGGTGCGGTTGGCCCTGGGTTCCTCCTAATGCAAGACAATGCTAAACCTCATGTGGCTGGAGTGTGTCAGCAGTTCCTGCAAGAGAAGGCATTGAAGCCATTGCTATGAAATGGCCCACCCGTTCCCCAGACCTGAATCCAATTGAGCACATCTGGGACATCATGTCTCGCTCCATCCACCAACGCCACGTTGCACCACAGACTATCCAGGAGTTGGCGGATGCTTTAGTCCAGGTCTGGGAGGAGATCCCTCAGGAGACCACCTGCCACCTCATCAGGAGCCCAGGCGTTGTAGGGAGGTCATTCAGGCACGTGGAGGCCATACACACTACTGAGCCTCATTTTGACTTGTTTTAAGGACATTACATCAAAGTTGGATCGGCCTGTAGTGTGGACTCCGAATCCAGACCTCCATGGATTGATAAATTTGATTTCCATTGTCAGCACATTCAACTATGTAAAGAAAGGAGTATTTAATGAGATTATTTCATTCATTCAGATCTAGGATGTGTTATTTTAGTGTTCCCTTTATTTTTTTGAGCAGTGTATATATATACACACACACACACACACACACACACACAGGTGCTGGTCATATAATTAGAATATCATCAAAAAGTTGATTTATTTCAGTAATTCCATTCAAAAAGTGAAACTTGTATAATGTATACATTCATTCCACACAGACTGATATATTTCAAGTGTTCATTCCTTTTTAATTTTGATGATTATAACTGACAACTAATGAAAACCCCAAAATCAGTATCTCGAAAAAGAATATTGTTAAAAGGTTCATTTTGAAGACCCTGGTGCCACACACTCAGTCTACCCTGTAGGCTACACAATCATGGGGAAGACTCCTGACTTGACAGCTGTCCAAAGACGACCATTGACACCTTGACAAG